ATTTCAATTTCTAAGAATTGTTTATTTTCTAAATATGGCCAAGAGTGCTATCATGGCAATGCTAGAAAACTTATCAAATCTAGCACTTGACAATTTTCATTCCAAAACTTTCTTCCTAAAAAAAGGTCTCAAATAGTATAGGTCACACAAAACAGGTCAGAAAAAAGATTAAGGTCCTTCAGTACCAGAACGCCTTCTTTATATAGTTTCAAATGACTCAGAATGTAAATCTAAACTATTTTAGAGTCCAGTATATTTGGAATATCACAATGATCCTCTGATTTATGTGACTTTAAGAAAAGTTGTTGGGGTTCCCATTTTCTCTACATGCTCTCCAGCACTGTTGCTTGTTGATTTACTTGGTGGGAATGCAGACAGGTGCAGCCATTGTAAAAAACAATATGAAGTTTCCTTAAAAAATTAAAAATGGAACTGCCTTTGACCCAGTGATCCCATTTCTGGGAATATATCCTAAGAATTCCAAAATATCAATCAAAAAGAATATATGCACCCCAATGTTCATAGCAGCATTATTTACAATAGCCAAGATCTGGAAACAGGCCAAGTGCCCATCAGTAGATGAGTGGATAAAAAAACTGTGGTACATATAAAGGGCTGTAAAAAATAAGGAACTCTTACCCTTTTTGACAGCATGGATGGACCTAGAGATTATGCTAAGTAAAATAAGGCAGTCAGAGAAAGTCAAATATCACATGATCTCACTTATATATGGAATCTAAAGAACAAAATAAATTGATGAACAAAATAGGACCAGAGACATGGATAAATAGAACAAACAGATCTCAGAGGGGAGTAGGGTAGGGAGGATGGGACGAGAACTAAAGAATATATATGCATAACCCATGGACACAGACAATGAAATGGTGAAGGTCTAGGGAGGACAGGGTAGAAAGGGGTAAAGGGGGGAAATGGGGGACATTTTTAATAGAGTCAACAATAAAAAAAAAGAGAGAAACGTTGTTAGTTTTGAGGGGGGAAAACTGTATAAAATCAAATACTGTAACTATTCCTGTCATTTCCCTGTGTTCAGTTTTTTTAGATATAACATTGCTGCCGGGCTACCTCTGCTGCCAGCAAAAGAGCTCACACAACAGGCAACTAGATGAGTATAATAAAAATAAAAGTAAAAGAGAAAAATATAAATAAGGAGACCCCCCCCAAAGAAAAATAACCAAAGAGAAGATAAAGGTAAAAACAATATTGCTGCATTAAAACTGCAATTCCTTTCCTCCTACAAAGGAGAAAAATAATTATAAACAAATAAAACCAACTAAAATTTTCCATTCCTCTACTTATATGTCCCAGGATATTCCTAAAGCATTTCCTTATCCTACATTTATTTACATAACACCTGCTCTTGCTTAAAAGTCAAACTATGCTTAGATTTTAAGTATGGTTTCCTAGACTCTCAATCAGATAACAGTAAATGTGAGACGTAAAATTTAAGGCATAATCAGCTTCTCTTAAACAATGGGTAAAATTAAAGCACCTTAACTATAGTACCTATTCCTAAAGTTTAGTCAGTCAAATGAAAACATCACAGAATATTCATTCATAAGGTGTTTACTGAACACCTACTAAGTGTCAGGCAATGAACTATGGATAGAGCTGGAGATACAAAATTAAGTAAGACACAAGTGATCCCCTACCATTAAGAAACTCCCAGCCAAGAAGCAAAAGGTAACAAAAGAGTTTAAGTACTAATGATAAAAGGAAGTAAAGGAAGCTAAATAAACTCATAATTAAGGTTAGAGGACAGAAGGGAGTTCGGAAAGGTTTCCAGAGGCAATAATGTCTAAATTGAATCTTTAGGTACTAGCAGAGATTACGTACAAGTATGATTCGGGTAGTATGTTTGTGTTTTAGGGAGCTGGGATGGTAGGTGAGGTTAGTTGGTGAGGGAAGACCTTATTTCAGCATGTGTAAAAGTAAAAGGCATAAGGCTGCTGGCTTCTAAGTGATCAAGGCCACTCCTGATTACATCTAGATGGAAATTTGGCTTCATTTCTGGGCTACTCTGGGGGTCATTGCCTCCTTGATTACTCACCACACCTGGGCAAGCCTTTTCTTCAGCCATGCCAGAGAGATTTCGGTCTCTAAGTACCAATGTTCTCTTCTCACATTTCCCAGGCTCATGTAAGTTAGGTTAGTTTTCGCAATAGATGCAGTGAGGTCTGAAGGAGGGTGAGGATTATGGAAGCCCCGGGAGGCACACTGAGGGGCATGGAGCCCACAGCACCACCAGCTGCAGCAGAGGGCCTCCTGTATCTGCAACAAGTTCCATAGGCACAGTAGCCCTTCTGATAGTACTTGCAAATGGTGGATGACTAGCTGTTTGCCAAGTCATGTGAGAAAAGGCATTAGTTTCCTTCCAGACACATGCCATGGTACATAACTAAGCTGCAAATAGTTTATAACTGTGCTGTCCAATATAGTGGCTACTGAGCACTTGAAATGTAGCTAGTCAGAATTGAGAAATGCTGTAAATGTAAAATACACCTGGGATATTGAAAACTCAGTACATAAATAAGAACATAAAATATCACTCTAATAATCTCTTTTATATTTGTTATATGTTGAAATACCACTTTGGATATTTTGGGTTAGATAAAATATATTAAATTAATTTTACCTGTTCATATCTTCTTGAGTGGCAACTAAAAAAATTGTTAAAGTATGTACATGGTTCATATTATATTTCTATTGGACAGTGCTGGTTTAGAATTACTGCTGAGAAATTGTGGTAAAGTAATAACAAGTGGAAGAAACTATTACAAGAAGGATCTTTATGTCATACTAAGAAGTTGGTTGGAAACAAAGGATTTTCCGTAGGAAGGAAATGGTCAGATCTGACATTTACGAAACTACATCTCCAACCCCAAAATTAGAGGGCAAATGGGCTGAAAGAAGACCAGTCTTGAAATTAAGCGGCAAGCAATAGCGGTATGAACTAAGGCAGGGTAACTAGAGACAGAGTGAAAAACCGATTCAGAAATGTTTATCAAGTAAAATAAACTGGACATGTTCATGGATTATATGTGCAGTATAAGAAGACAGCAGAACCTAAAATAAACTCCAAAATTTTAGGCTTCCAAAGTTGGGTAACTATGGTGCCATTCAATAGGACAGGCTCGGTCAAGGTGATGGGTTCACTATCAGGGACTGAGTTTAGAATGCCTGTGACAAAGCTATGTGGAAATACCAAAAGTTAGCTGCATACATTTGGATCTAATGCAAGAGTTCCCAGAGAGAGAAAAAAAGTTGAGAGTGCCATTAACAAAATAATAATAAAATATAGATGGTGGGAGCCAACACTACCAAAAGCCTGTCGTTGAACTCAGCCAAGAAAAGAACACAGAGTGAAAAGAAGGCAGATGACTAGATTATGAGGAAACACAATAATTAAACAATGGGTAGGGGAGGAGGATCCCACTAAGGAGATGAATGATAGGCAGAACCAGGAGAAAGGGTAGCGTTGGTCCGCAGACCAGAGAGTCTCGTGTTCGGTTCCCACTAAAGGCATGTACCTTGGTTGCAGTTTGTCCCTGGCCTTGGTTGGGGTCGTGTGGGTGGTAGGCAGCGATGTTTCTCTCTCTCTCTTCTTCCCTCTCTATCTGAAGATGAATGCAAAAATGTCCTCGGGTTGAGGATAAAAAAAATAATAATAATTTTATATATATACACACACACACACACACACACTAATCATGCTTAAGAGAGAAAATAAAGGATCTTTAGAACCATAACTCTTTTCAGTTTTGTTTTCCAAATATATGTAGCCCCTTCCGCCCCCCTCCAAAAACATTTAAATGACTTTTGATCCCAGAGAGCTATCTAATCTGTTTTAAACTGGAATCTGAAGGTAAAGGATAGCCACAAGCATATATAATATACCCAACTCTATTTTCCTGGGAATAGGAACCAAAACTTTCTTCAGACTTTCAAAGGGGTGGTCCAAGACGAAAACGATTAAGAAAATCGCCAGTCAATGCAGCTCTCCACCAAGTAGCTCACACAAACCAAATTCCAGCAACAAAACAATTTAACAGAGTATTATTAATTACCACCCAATTTTTTTTTCATTTACCCGAGTATAGGTACGGACATCTCAATACAATTAATCTTCACAATATCTACTATTTCCATTACCAAATGGGGTAAAAAAAATGATGCTAGCAGTTTGTTACTAGCCAGTAATTTGTTACTAATTGATGTCAGTAATTTATCCAAGACTACAAAGTGAATGGGAGGGGTTTATACACGAGTAAATTAGACCCGTGCTCTTCATCACTCTTAAACACTGTCCCCTGGTCCCGCCAACGTAAAACACCAACTATGTAGGCACCCACGCCAACTCACCTAAGCCAAGGCACCCTTTTTGTCAACCCTCTTTCCACCTCTTATCCCATCCCTGAAAGAAGTGTAAAAATGTCTTTTCAACTCTGAAGAATCTCTGCACTGTAAGCACAGTCTTATTCTCTCATTTATTTATTATCCCAGAGTTACCAAATGCCTCTCAGCCTCCTTCCCCTTCTTGGCCCTGGCCCTCCCTTCCCATCTTCAGTCTCCACAGGCCTCTGGAGATGTTCAGTTAACACACAAACCCCTTCTCTACAGCCCCCTGCAATTCTTTCCGTCTCTTCCATCTCCTAAAAAGTAAACCAACCCTTCCCCAACTTCTAATTTCCCAATCCCGCACCTGTCGGTCAACCTCCGCTCCTCCCGGCGCGCTCCCAGCTGCAGGCACTTCGTTTATTTTCCCAGGAGTCTCTTCAACCCGCGTCCCCAAATCCTCCCGCATCCCTAATCCTTCCCGCTTCAGCAACTCCACTCGCTCGCTCCATTCGCGAACGCCGCATCGCCAGCGCCGCAACGCTCCAGTCTCACCTGGTACCCCGCAACTCTCAGTCTCCCCGCCCACGCCAAAGCCCACCCTCCTCCCACCCAGGCCCGTCCTCAGAGCCCACGCGGCGTCCCACCTCCTTGTCTTCTCTCTGTGGACCAAACTCCCCGCTCGGGCCTCGGCGTCTGGCCTCCGGAGAGTGGGCTCCGGGCCCCTGCGGAAGCTGCGGAGGCAGCAGGGCGGGCGCCGAGGTTGCGACTTGCGGGAAGTTTGAACACAAGGTTGGGTAGGGGCGGGGACCGCAGCTCCTGGGTGGCAGCGGCGTGGCGACTTCGGCTCCAGGGTAACGGAGGCGGAGGCCCAGACTCCACTGCGGGAGGGCCGCAGCCAATGATGTGTGCCCTGCTCTCCCATTGGCTTTTGTTTCCAGATGGCCCTTTCTGCTGGCTCCGGTGGAACTGGAAGGCGGGACTATGAGTACAGGAGAAGGCGGCCATTGGTTGACCGCTCTAGCTATAGCGGCGACCGAGAGTGGGGCGTCTTTAACGCTGAAGCTCAGCGTAGCGCGCCTGCGGCCCTTTAAACTGTGCTGAGTGAGAGGCTAGGGCGAGTGTGTCCTGGGCCTTGGACGGCGGGAGCAGGAAGACGCGCGCGGAGGGGACGGGATGGGTTCATGAATTGTAGAAATTGGAGACTGCACAATTGAAAACATTAACAATCGTCTCGAATCCCTTTTGGAAATAGACTAGTTTTAAATTCGGAAGAAATGATAAACAAATATGTACCTGGCTAGTTCTCTGTCTTCGCCCTGAAATTGCGATTTTCAGGAGGATGTGGAGTTAGTGCATTAATTCTCTTGTCTCGAGATCACGGGAATTTGGCTTGAAAGTGATTTTTAGGTTTTGGAACCGGTTTGAGGTGGAATGACATTAGAAACATTTGCACTCATTTTTTTTTTTTTTTAAAGAAAACGTCTGTAGTGCGTGTTAGTACCTATTAAGGGCTGATGTATGACATATTTTTCCCCTTTAAACAGGACAGTGCATAAACGGCATTGATTGATTGCAGGAGGTAGGGAAGATAAAATCACCTATTTGGCGAAGGCGACCATTACGTTAAGCCTTTCTGAACCTTCTGATTATCAAGATTAACACAGTATTCCTCTTTCTTGCCATCCTTAATTTCTCCAGAATTGTTTTTTTTTTTTTTTTACCTCCATCTGCAGAAAATCTAATTCATCAAGGCAAATAAATGCGTTCTAATCAGTCTTCTGACCATGAATTATGGTAATTCCCTTTCTTGCTTGACCTCGTTTTCCCAACTTTGCACTATTTCAGAGCTTTTACTTTATCTTGTCAATATAGTTTACTTCAACTTTCAGATGAGTCTACCTACATAACACCGTTTAAAATGCAAGTTTCGGTAGGAGATAGCATTATTTGTTAGTGAAAAATAAATAAATCATCCCTAAAACTGCACTGAAATACTTTTCAACAGTTCGTTTAAATCTGCTAATGCTCTTCATCAAAATAGCTCACAGGTTATTGACTCCGTTAGAATTAGCTAAACAAATGCATCAGTGGATTACTTTGAAAGAAGTAGCTATAAAGAGTCAAGAAATGTGCTGTATTTAGGTGAACAAACAACGTGTCTCCCCAGAGTCAAATGGGGGTTGTTAATACTCAAGGACTGTTGAGAATTAAACTAATTTATTCACTCACAATGCGCTAGGTAGTATAATCTTATTCTGTCTTTACTCATGACAGATACTGTTACTCATCACTATACCGAAGTAAACAGCTTTAGAGAGGTTAAAGAATCTACCACAAGATACTAAAGTAGTAAGTAGTAGGGCCAAGATTCAAGCCTACATCGGCTCAATTCCAGGTTTCAAATTTAATGCCTTTAATGTGTTTCACCTACAGGTTAATAGAGTTGCTGGAAGGCAAGAAAAGTATTTAAAAGGTATGGAGTCTCCAAAACACTGTCTAATTGTATGTAACACATTTTCAAGATATTTCAATGTTTTATTCACTCTCTCATATTTGGAATAACAGTGATTATCAACTTATTTGACCTTAAACAAAGACCAAAAGAATTACAAACCTACAGAAGTAAAAACCAGTTTACTAAACTATTTTTAAAAAGTGATGCAAAGTATGAGATAACAGTTTCAAGTTTTTATATGATTTTACATGTTTTGTTTTGTTTTTTGTAATATTTTTTTATTGATTTTAGAGTAGAGAAAGAAAGGAAGAGAGAGAGAGAGAGAGAGAAACATCAATGTGAGAGAGACACATCGACTGGCTGCCTCCCACATAACCCCTACCAGGGCCGGGACCAGAATGCAACCAAGGTACCCGCCCATGACCAGAACAAACCCAAGACTCATTGGTCCCCAGGCTGACACTCTAACCACTGAGCAACCAGCCAGGGCATAGTTTTTTAATATAGTTATTTTCGTAGAATTAGAATTTTCTAAGATTATAGTATTTGCCATTTCATTTCACTAGATACTAAATAGGATTCAGCTTTTTTTTTTTTTTAAAAAAAAAGGAAAACCAATAAAACCACATTTTTATATTACTGTCACTTAAAATTATATTCAACAGGAATCAGGTTCCTTGTTGTTTTTAAAGATTATATTTATGACAGAAATCATACTAATAATCATTAAGCACTTTGGAGTTTTATTTTTAATATCCCTGGACTTACATTGATATTGTAATATCACCAGGTTTGTTTTATTGCTAACTAATTATTTTCTACAGAGTTTTGATTGCCTTTATTTATGCTTTTTGGCAATGACATAGATAACATTAAACTTTTTCTAGAAATGCTTACCAATAGAATTATTCCTGTTTTCCATATAGGAAAACTAGAGAGTTTGAACAATTTGTTATAAGTTTCATAAAATTAATAGGCAAAGTAATAAGTAGACTTTCCAACTGTAGAAAATCCAGAGATTACAATGGTTAGAATTGAATAGGAACATACTATAAATAACCATATCTTGAAAAATTTACCAATAGAATAATCCTTAGCTAACGTTCAGATGTTTAATACCATTCTTAAAAATAAAAAAACAACCAAACATAAAAGAACAGTAATGTCACAATTTTATATATTTTACCTAGATATGTGATAAGTATTACAAAATTCAAAAATTTAAATCTAACTTCTTGGTGTCCATATTGTTAGAAAAATTTTAATTTAATAGTAAATTCCAGGTAAATAGTATGTTGTCAGCATATAATAACTTTTAAACAGTATCTAATATGTGGTGTGTTTAAAAGAAACTGAATGGCTTAGGAAAACTTGAGTTGGATATAAAGAACAATAGAATTGGAGACACAGAAAGTGGTCTGCTCTTATAAAAACAAATTTAGTCCAATTGTTATTATTTGCCTTTGCAGTACAGAAAGCTAATACCTTTTGATTATTGTTCTGTTTAAAGGATAAATCTTTTGGTAATTTGATGAAATGTATAAGTTAATTATTATGTTAGTGGAGAAAGAAATAAAGCTATTGAGATGTATAATAATATTTTTCTTCTTTAACAATTAGTAAGTCATTAATAGTATCTCAATTTCATGGAGTTTATTTGAATTTTCAGGACTTTTGCTTTTTTTTTTTGCATAAAAAGAACTAAACCCAAAGTTGGTTTGAGCACATTTTTAATACACGTTTTCAGATTTTGTTACTCCACAATTACATCTTTAAGTAAGTTGACCTACCGATCAAATGTTATCTCAATAGGAAAGCATTGAAGGAAACCATAATTCTATTTGTATTCACATTGTTAGTTTTGAAAGGGAGAATGTCAATACAATTTTCTTAGTAGACAACTGCCTGTTCTCAAGCTAAAATAGTTCACAGGAGATTTTGTTAAGATTAGTCACTATATTTTTAACTAACAATAAATATGCTAGGTAGAGAAAAAAGTGTTTTTACTACTTTGGAGCCCTAGCATAATAAAAAGCCATCTATTTCTCCAGTGAAAACAAGAAAATGGCATAGCAGAATTGCAATGGAAAATGTCTAAGTTAGAAACCTTTGTTTTCATTAAATCCATATTGAGCACTTAATAGATGCCCTCGGGGAACACAAAGATAAAAAATGAAGTTCTTGTCTTCCAGCTGCTCACTGTCTAATGAACAAGAAAGATGAGTTTCTCTGATTGCATGTACTGTGTAAAAAGGGTGACTATAAAGGTATTCTGAGGGTGCTAAGGGAACTTGGAGGAAGGACTCAACTCAGCTGGGTGGCCCAAATATGCTTTCCAGAGAAAGTAACTCTTGAATTAGAATTCATGTTACATGAAAGATAACCAGAAGTAGAAAGATATATAAGATAGAAACAAATCATTGTATAACCAGGCATTATTGAGGCAGGCCAATGGTTTAGTAAACATAAGAGAACACGTGATGGGGAAAGGTGTGGGATGCACTAGGAGAGGGGGGGCCAGAGATGTGGCTGGAGAAGAGGCAAAAGGCTAGATGTTTAAATGCCTTTTTAAGAAGCTTATATTTAATCCCCACTGCCATAGGTAGTGGCGAATTGAACAGAGGACTGGTATGATTTGATCTGCATTTCAGAAAGATTATCCCAGAGACATTATGCAGGGTGAGATTAGAAGCAGAAAGGTCAGCTAACACCTTTTCAGGAAGGGGACCAGTAGCAAGAAATGAGGAAGGCCTGCGTCAACTAATATATCAGCTGAGCCCCGGGGTTATAGATTTACATACTCATTTTAATCCTTGCTATAACTCTATGATATAGTACTATTTTTATTATTATTTCTTTGTCACAGGTAAAGCCTGCAGCTGAAAGAGGCTACGTGCTTTGCCCAAGGTGACAGAAAATAGAAGAGTAGGGATTTAAACCCTTGTCTGACTCCAGGACACAAGCTTTCAACCACCTGTTTTTCAAACTGTGGTTATAACTCATTAATGAATCATACAATCAATTTATGGTTTTGACCACTTTTTTTTTGACGGATATAGAGTAGAACAGAAAATATCGAGTACATTGTATACAGGAAGAATAAGTGTCATTTTATGAAACTTTTGTTTTAGTTATCTTTATATACATGTAATGTTTATTTTTTACTCTGGCTCAAAGTAAAAAAAAAAAATTGAAAATGACCGTACTATGTTATACTGCAAACTTAGTGA